TTCTCAATGTAGACAAAAAAGGAACTTTACATTTCTAAAAATGTCTAATCTCAACGCTTTTATTTAACTTGTATTTTGAATTATAGCTTGAGCTAGCTATTTGATTCATGGAACTCATGTTGAGGCTAGAAGGCAGAACTGAACACATGAATCAAGATTTCTTTACTGTGTTGCCTGTTTCACTTGAAAATGTTTTCAGAAGATTTAAATGTTTGGTTCTGCAGCCAATCAGAGCAGCATGGCTGCTTGTTCCCAACTTCTCCAATCAAAGCAGAATATGTGTCCATAGTCTGATAGGACAAAATCCTGATGGCTTGGAGGCCTTTCCTTTTTTATTATATTGGTAAATACAGACTATACATCTTTGTCAGTTGGTCTGGTGGTGCCAGGGTAAATGCATAACTGTTCTGTTCAGATTGCACCATGTTTTTTGTATATTCAGAAATAAAGCAAGACGTGGCCAATAAATTTTACTTACAGAATTAATTTTAAATATCTAAAAAGTATATTAATACAAAAATAGTCACGCTTGATGTACATGATATAATTAAGTTGATTTTACTTAAAAATGTCATTAAATACATCAAAAAATTAAGTAATTTATACAAAGACTAGTTTTGTTTGATCTACATAATAAAATCAAGTTGGTTATACTTGAAACTTTCATTTACTACATTGAAAAATTGAGTAGTTTATACAAAGTTTAGTTTTGCTTAATCTACTTAACAAAATTAAGTTCACTTTACTTTGATTTTATTTTTCATGTAAAAAATAAGTAAGTAGTTTAAACAAAGAACAATCTTGCTTGATCAACATAAAAAATTATGCAAAAAGTTGCCTTATTTTTTAAGTAGATCTAGCAGAATATTTTTATCAGTGTAGATTATATTTGTTGAGTGGGCATTATTTGCACTTGAAGATTATAATTTTTTTAACATGTTAGATTAATGTGCAAGTGAATGTACATATGTTATAACTGCGAAAAAAAAGGTGCTATTGTGTCTTTACAGTGTGTTCATTGTTAACAGACGGTTAAATTTGTTTTTGGTCCGACAATTATTTACAATTGCACTTATTCCTTTGCCATTAATTTATTTTGCTGTGAACTATTTAGTGATAGTGAAGAATGTGAATGTGTTTTATTTATTTTTGATAAATGGGCATTATTTGCACTTGCACAAAATGGCTGGCCTGGAACAGTGTTTAAATGGGAGCCACTGAGCCTCAACCTGCCTAACACCTACAAACTAATAATCACACACACCACACCACAACACACTAACACATCAATCACACACACACACACACACACACACACACACACACCACACAAAGGAGGGCAGATAAGCACCCCTGCACTAAGAAATGTTGTCAATAAATAGTTTTATTTGTACAAATTTATGTGTCTTTTATCAGATTTTACCCAAACTGCCGCCGCAGCCAAAATCTCACTCTGAACTCAGTTCAAAACTTGAGAGCCCTGGATATCGGTAAATGTTGGACTTCATCTTGCCATTTAACCAACACAGCTCCATATTTCATCACCTGAAGTTGGAAGAAACACTCATGCAATCATTTACTGTCTTGCTGTGATTATATTTAATTTCATTTTAGAATCTCTGGATGATTGTTCAGCGAAAAAGTAGTGAAGAGAGAATAATTGATCAGATAATGTTTTTAAAACCATGCAGTAAATTGTCTTTACAATGAGCTATTTGACTTCTTATTTTGTGAAACCTGACAGATCTTTATAAGAAATTAAGGAATAAAATAAAGTCTGTTAAAAACTTGAAATACACCTGTATGAAGTGTTTGTTTTTTGGGTCTGTCTGCCTTTATTGGATCGGACAGCCGAAGAGAGACAGGAAATGTTGGGAGGAGAGAGTGGGGGATGACATGCAGCAAAGAGCCGAGGTCGGAATTGAACCCGGTCCTTTTGAGATGAGGTATAATCCATACATAACCGCTTGTCCATCTGTCACACTGTGGAATGTGTTTATTTTTTAACCTGTGTATTATTGTTTTTTTATAATTGAATTATCTGCTAATTGTTTTTAAAACAGTTTCTTTCTGCTACCGTAGACGCTCACTGTGAATAGGAGACTTATCCAAAATGGTGCACGCTGACATTGAGGATTCTGTGAATCTAATTTTTAGATTTTGAAACATGAATTTGTAAATTAAGCAACACTTTAATCTGTTATTATTTTATTATCAAATACAGTTCTACAGTTCTTATAGTAAATGATAGGAAATTAGTAGACATAACATTTTATTTTTTATTTTTTTTTTTTTAAATCCTGAAACAAATGATGAGGCAATCAGATCTCAAATGGTTTGATCATAACAAAGTTTAACCAGAGTAACACTGAATCAGCAGAATTTTAGACATTTTTGAATTTCTAATTCACTTTTATTTTTTTTTTTAATACATTTTTTGAATTTGCAACACATTGTTACAGGATACGATGGGAGAGCCGGAGCGAACCCGGAGAAAACCCGTTTTCCAAATCATGACATTTTTTTAAGTTCTTGCAACACATTGTTAAGGATACGATGGGAGAACCAAGCGAACCCGGAGAAAACCCCTTTTTCCAAATCATGATTATTATAGAGGGTGGTGTGGGGATGGGGGTGGGGGTCCTATGAACTTAAGTCCTGCCCACATCCTTAGGCAGCCTTAGGCCTATCTGGGGAAGAAAACTGCATTATAGGGTGAAGTGAGGGCCTTGGTGTCAGGTGAGTTTTAAAAAGGGAGGTGATATAGTTTTCAGCTTCTTGATCTCCATATTCAGGAGAACCAACCCAATCGCCCATTGCCAAACTTCTTGCTCAGGTCTTTTAAAATGGCCTTGTGGATTTTATCAAGTGTTTTGATTCGATTTGAAAATCTCCTCCGTGCACTTCAGCCCATATCTTTTCAAACAGGCGCTTAATGATAGTCTCTGGCTTCACTAAGGTGTGTTCCACTTAGCATTGCTGAACATCTGTATAACTAACATTTCAAAAGTATTTTGACAGATGTTCTCTTAAAAAGTTCTTCTACGCTCTCAGTCAGTACAAAAGGTGAAACTTTGGTGACCTGAGGTCCTTCTGTGACTCCATTTGCTCTTTTTCTGACAAGCTTGCTCAGTCTCTTCCAAAGCAAGCATCACCCTGTTGCTATGGGTGTCTACCTGAAAGGAAAGCCACCACTTCATCAGTGCCAGAAAACACCAGACTCTGGCTTGTATCTCACCATAGATGTCAGGAAACACATCCCTGCAATATGGTTCTAGGGTAAGCTCCGGCAATAATCCATGTACACAGTGATTGTAAAGGAGATCACTGAGTCCTTTTGTTAATACCAGGACATTAGCCTTGGTAAAATTAATCAGCTTTGGATATACACAAACCTGGTTTCCATTTTGAAGGGTCTCCATATCTTGTTTAAAAAACAGAGAGTCAATACTGTCAGCCAATGACTGAATTGACTCTCTGCTTTCAACTTTTGGGACACGACGGAATTTGATCTTAGCTGTTGTACAAGGCGCTGAATGGACATTTTGGCAAAGCTCTTTGCAAAAAAGTGATGTATCTTGTCCAGTGCTCCTTTAAAAACCTGTTTGTTTTTCTTTTCTGGTGTCAGGCTTACATCGTCTATTTCTTCCACACTCTGAACTTCTTCTGCGATTGACTGAGCGATGTCTTCAGCAATCACTTGAATATCCTGAAAAGTGTCCCTCTTTAGCAGCTCAGAGCCCGCCATGCTGTCCAAAAGAGGTTCTGCGAACGCCAGTAACTCTCTGCTAAGAACTTTGTGAAAAGCTTCTGTTTTTGCACTCAAACGGCTGTCTGCTGATCCTCTGGACCTCTTCTGTTGGACTCCTGATCCTAGAGATCTGGTTTGTGACAGACAGCTGTCCTTACTGTCAGCCACCTCTAGATCTTCAATGACCAAGTCCATCTCTGTTGAGATGTTACTTTGTCTCTTCTTTTGCTCCTTGGTTTGGCCAAGGTCACCGTGCAGATATTCTTCATCTCGTCTGTGAATGTTTTTAACATTGTGCGAGCATGTCTCACCATCTTATTCAGTCTTTTCGGGGGTGTGATTCGTGGATTGATTGAATACTCCTGTGAGTTTGCTCTAGCTAAGAGGGAAGACTTGATGCTTAGGGCAACCTCTTTAGCAATTAAATCTGTCAATTTGTCAGAGCTGTCACATTTACATTGGTCAATATTTAAAACCTCAGCAAAGCTCTGAGAAATTGTGTCTCTCAAAGTAGCTTGAATCCTATCCTCAGAAAGGACAATATTTCTTCGTGTAACAGTTTCCATCAAAGAATTGGCTAAAAACGTTATTAATTCCAAAATCAATTCGGCCAACTGAAGTTTGGTGGTATCATCCGCATTTCATTTTTCATCATTGCCCATTGTTCTGAAGTCATCCTTTCAAAAAAGGATTCAATCAGTGGACAAACAGAAGCAACTTTAATCTCTTTAACTCCTCTGCCTCTTTGATTCTACAGTCAATACTGTCCATTGTGATTTCTGTATGGATGTATTTCTACCTTGTATTTAGATCAATTATAAATGATGTTTTGGTTATTTCTCTCGTCTATCTGTCTGTCAGATAAGCTGCTTGTAAGATTCTCAACTAATAAGAGCTCCGTCCTTTAACTTCACTGTCCTCTAAATGTATGCTCCCCTTAGCTATCTTTCTCAACATGGCACAGATCAAAGGCAAAAAAAGCCCTCTGTCACGTCAGAGATCAAAGTCAGTTAAGCTCCGCCCCAAATTTAGTGTTGCTAGGCACACTAAATTTGCGTGAGAAACAGCACGCAGATAAATTACTAGGATAACGCCCCAAGTTGTGCCGCTATACTTTTTAACTATGGAACAGATAGGAATCAAGGGGTTTCCCACAGAGTTCAGAAGGAGCTTGCCAACCAGCTAATCAAAAAAAAAGAAATATAGCTACCCAACAGCCAATGAATAAATAGCATTGCTGTATCCGGGTAAGATTTAGATATTCCCGCTACAACAACGCTACATCCTGGTTACAAAGAAGACGCCAATGACACTTTGATTCAGACGCTCGCTGAAGTACAGACTGATCGACGTGGGAGAGGACCGTTATATTTACAGTCTATGGAGAAGAGGACCATATGGTATTAATACAGTAAGTCATCTCATCATTAGATTTCTGTATGTTGGGGAATATTGTGTCCAGTCAGCTGGTAATCAGTAATATTAGCTAACAGTTTGACCAGAGTGTGTGAACTAGACAGCCAGTTGAATCCTTTAATAGTTTGTTCGTTTCTATGAAGATTATTTCAGGTCTCGATAGAGAAACGTTGAACTAGTAGACAGTTTTCTACTGTTGCTATGGTGGTTGCTATGGACGCTATCAACAACGAACCGGAAGGAAGTGGACGTTCGGTTCGCGGTTCTTACAACGGGTTACGTCAGACCCTACACATCAAACTAAGCTCCTATGTAATAAATAATGATTTCTGTTACATTTTTATGGATGTCTTTCATTACAACCAAATGTAATAAAACGATTGGAACAGATAGATGTATATTAGCAACATTATAAACTATAACATGTAACAATACATAAAGACAATACTGTACAGTTTGTGTGATTTATATGATTTCATAATTTTATTTAACAAAATAATCCTGACGGATTAGATTAATACCAGAAAATGCAATCAATAAAGTAAACGGCCGGCGATAAGAACTACAAACGGGCGCATGACACTGACATCAGATAATGACGTATTGATAATCGTCACTTGTCAGCGACCTCTTTATTAGATCTTTCAGGGGATATTTACTGATGTTTTTTAAGGTTGCTTGCAAAAACACATCTTAAATCTGTGCGCCAAGTCTGATCTGATTGGTCGGCCTGTCGGCTCTGCCGTAATTGGTCAGTCGCTCAGCCACTCTGGCTCCGAGGTCCGGGGAGAAAACACATTAGCACCTTAGCACTAAAGATAAAGAGATAAAGATAAACTGTATTGATCCCCGTGGGGGAAATTTGTGCATTACAGCAGCTCCAGAAAACGGGACGGGAATATAATTATTAAAAATAAAAATGAAGTTAAAAATCAAATCAAACATATTTACATCAGTTAAATAAAAAAAATACAATAATGGAAAATTACACAGTAACTACACTGGAAAGAGTTATTGTTATTAAAAAACACACACAGTGTGTAGCATTATTGAGATGAGTCATGAGGTGGTGATGCTGTTAAAGAGTCTGATTAAACTACTGTGCTACCGCAGTCGACGGCATATCGTGGGCGTGCAACATGAGCTGCTGGGCCACAACGAGCCAATGGGCTTAGATCAGTGATCTCACACTGACAAGACGTCACACTGGCAAAAACATTTCGAGGGGGGCTAGAACCGAGCGTTACATGCAGCTAATGCTGCAGCTAACAGGAGGAGGTAGGAGAAGCCATTTCCGCAGACTTTGAATTTTTGCACATAGATGTGCCTAAACATGCACAGGACACTTGGAAAACACACTAAAGAGCAGATAAAACCAGAAAAAGCATAATATGGGACCTTTAATATCTTTCAATATCGTGCATTTATCATCAAGTGTGGTTTTTAGTTTTATTGAAGATGCCTGCATCAAGACGCACAGAGCGCACAGAGACCTGGCGGTGGCTTCACACATTTCGCCTCCTCCATACTCAGCACATCTTCATCAGCTGCAGGTATTTATTCTGTAAATAATTCAAGTGTGGACATTAAGTCGGGGCATCTCTGACACGATCATTAGGCCTATATATCCTCATAATTAGTCACAGAGCAGACGGAGTTTCCCATGAAAAAAAGCGGCCAACAATCAAATGTTTTTGTTCGTTGATCAAACTTTTGATTACTAATATGATATAGTGAGGCAGACTGCTGACTGACGTGAACACTCTGACAATATGAAGAAGTCAGTGTGGGTCCTGTAAACATGTAAACATTGCAGATATTCTCGTGCTGAATGATGAACGGTGGATGTTTTGGTGCTGTAGGAGGACAGCGTGAATGCAGCAGCGACGTGGTGTCATTCTCTGATTTTTCTTCAGTTTGTGATCCTCCTGCTGCAGTAAACTACCGATATGTTCCTCACTTCATTCACAAACTCCTCTGTTTCTGGGTCAAAGTTTCGTTTATTCGTCTAAACTTCCGGGTTTGGCCGCGATCCAGCGCTGGAAACCTTTGATCTGCCCCCTCGTTTGTATGCATTTTCATTCACGAGCTGCTTTGCATTGACTGTTTATGGTTGAATGTGGGCGTGTAGATGGCGGAACATGGGACTAATCTACGTGCGCACATTTCCAGGTGGATCGTGATTTATAAAGGGAACATTGCGTGCAGGTGTTCGTACGAACGGTTTTATAAATCTGAATCATTTTGTGCGCACGTCATTTCCGGGTTTTTGCCGCACTTACATTTTCAGTATGGATTGTACGCACTCTTTTATAATGAGACCCCAGTTCTTTACACATGGTGCTCTTTTTAGATTTCAGGAACTACTTCCTTTCCATGGGCCACAGGAACAGGACAAGGTGAGTGAGGAGTTCCTGGAGTATCAACTCATGGAGATCCCCATGCCCCAAGATCCCACCACCTTTAATGTTGAGGAGTTTTGGGGAGTATGTCCTCAACCAAGAGCAAGGTAAGAAATATTTGGCAGCAGCTGACATACACATAATTAATTGACATAATAAAAGCAAAACATTTGATTAATAGTTGGTTCCTTTTTTTCCAAGGTGACCGGTTTGAGTCAGTTTGGGAGGCTATCTAAGATAGCAGCATTAGTTTTAGTGCTCCCACACTCAAATGCGGACGCAGAGAGGGTTTTCTCCATGGTCGGCCGAAACAAGACCAAAACGAGAAACAGCTTGGCACTGAATGGAACACTTTCGTCAATCATGACAGTCAAAATGGCTGGCCTGGAACCACAGTGTTTCAAATGGGAGCCACCAACCCCCTGTGCTGAAGGCCTCCAAACCTGCCACTAACACCTACAATAAACAACACTAACCATAATCACACACACACACACACACACACACACACTCCCACAAGGAGGGCAGATAAGCACCCCTGCACTAAGAAATGTTGTCAATAAATAGTTTTATTTGTACAAATTTATGTGTCTTTTTCAGATTTTACCCAAACTGCCGCCGCAGCCAAAATCTCACTCTGAACTCAGTTCAAAACTTGAGAGCCCTGGATATCGGTAAATGTTGGACTTCATCTTGCCCATTTAACCAACACAGCTCCATATTTCATCACCTGAAGTTGGAAGAAACACTCATGCAATCATTTACTGTCTTGCTGTGATTATATTTAATTTCATTTTAGAATCTCTGGATGATTGTTCAGTGAAAAAGTAGTGAAGAGAGAAATAATTGATCAGATAATGTTTTTAAAACCATGCAGTAAATTGTCTTTACAATGAGCTATTTGACTTCTTATTTTGTGAAACCTGACAGATCTTTATAAGAAATTAAGGAATAAAATAAAGTCTGTTAAAAACTTGAAATACACCTGTATGAAGTGTTTGTTTTTTGGGTCTGTCTGCCTTTATTGGATCGGACAGCCGAAGAGAGACAGGAAATGTTGGGAGGAGAGAGTGGGGGATGACATGCAGCAAAGAGCCGAGGTCGGAATTGAACCCACGGTCCTTTTGAGATGAGGTATAAAGACTCCATACATAACCGCTTGTCCATCTGTCACACCGTGGAATGTGTTTATTTTTTAACCTGTGTATTATTGTTTTTTTATAATTGAATTATCTGCTAATTGTTTTTAAAACAGTTTCTTTCTGCTACCGTAGACGCTCACTGTGAATAGGAGACTTATCCAAAATGGTGCACGCTGACATTGAGGATTCTGTGAATCTAATTTTTAGATTTTGAAACAATGAATTTGTAAATTAAGCAACACTTTAATCTGGCAGTCTGAATTGTTTATTATTTTATTATCAAATACAGTTCTACAGTTCTTATAGTAAATGATAGGAAATTAGTAGACATAACATTTTATAAACTTATTTATTTTTTTAAATCCTGAAACAAATGATGAGGCAATCAGATCTCAAATGGCTTGATCATAACAAAGTTTAACCAGAGTAACACTGAATCAGCAGAATTTCAGACATTTTTGAATTTCTAATTCACTTTTATTTATTTATTTTTAATACATTTTAAAAATCCGTGCAACACATTGTTACAGGATACGATGGGAGAACCAGAGCGAACCCGGAGAAAACCCGTTTTCCAAATCATGATGTTATTATAGAGGGGGGATGGGGGCCTCCTTATTTCGTCTGAAAGGTGAAGTGAGGGCCTTGCTGATGGCCCTAAAGACCCTGCAGACAGCGTTAGGCCTAGGTGTCAGGTGAGTTTTAAAAAGGGAGGTGATATAGTTTTCAGCTTCTTCAAACTCCATATTCAGGAGAACCAACCCAATCCCTCCATTGCCACACTTCTTGCTCAGGTCTTTTAAAATGGCCTTGTAAATTTTATCAAAGTTTTTGTATTTGATTTGAAAATCTCCTCCGTGCACTTCAGCCCATATCTTTTCAAACAGGCGCTTAATCATAGTCTCTGGCTTCACTAAGATGTGGTCCACCTTAGCATTGTTGAACATCACTGCAACTAACATTTCAACTAGTATTCTGACAGATGTTCTCTTAAAAAGTTCTTCTACGTTCTCAGTCGGTACAAAAGGTGAAACTTTGGTGACCTGAGGTCCCTTCTGTGACTCCATTTGCTCTTTTTCTGACAAAGCTTGCTCAGTCTCTTCAAAGCAAGCATCACCCTGTTGCTATGGGTGTCTACCTGAAAGGAAAGCCACCACTTCATCAGTGCCAGAAACACAGACTCTGGCTTGTATCTCACCATAGATGTCAGGAAACACATCCCTGCAATATGTTCTAGGGTAAGCTCCGCAATAATCCTGTACACAGTGATTTAAAGGAGATCACTGAGTCCTTTTGTTAATACCAGACATTAGCATTTGTAAAATTAATCAGCTTTGGATATACACAAACCTGGTTTCCATTTGAAGGTCTCCATATCTTGTTTAAAAAACAGAGTCAATACTGTCAGCCAATGACTGAATTGACTCTCTGCTTTCAACTTTTGGGACACGACGGAATTGATCTTAAGCTGTTGTACAAGCGCTGAATGACATTTGGCAAAGCTCTTTGCAAAAAAAGTGACGTATCTTGTCCAGTGCTCCTTTAAAAACCTGTTTGTTTTCTTTCTGTGTCAGCTTACATCGTCTATTTCTTCCACACTCTGAACTTCTTCTGCGATGACTGACGATGTCTTCAGCAATCACTTGAATATCCTGAAAAGTGTCCCTCTTTAGCAGCTCAGAGCCCGCCATGCTGTCCAAAAGATTCTGCGAACGCCATAACTCTCTGCTAAGAACTTTGTGAAAAGCTTCTGTTTTGCACTCAAACGCTGTCTGCTGATCCTCTGACCTCTTCTGTTGACTCCTATCCTAGAATCTGTTTGTGACAGACAGCTGTCCTTACTGTCAGCCACCTCTAGATCTTCAAGACCAAGTCCATCTCTGTTAGATTACTTGTCTCTTCTTTTGCTCCTTGGTTTTGGCCAAGGTCACCGTGCAATATTTCATCTCGTCTGTAAGTTTTTAACATGTGCGAGCATGTCTCACCATCTTATCATCTTTTCGGGGTGTGATTCGTGATTGATTGAATACTCCTGTGAGTTTGCTCTAGCTAAGAGAAGACTTGATGCTTAGGCAACCTCTTTAGCAATTAAATCTGTCAATTGTCAGAGCTGTCACATTTACATTGGTCAATATTAAAACCTCAGCAAAGCTCTGAGGAAATTGGTCTCTCAAAGTAGCTTGAATCCTATCCTCAGAAAGGACAATATTTCTTCTGTAACAGTTTCCATCAAAGAATTGGCTAAAAACGTTATTAATTCCAAAATCAATTCGGCAACTGAAGTTTGTGGTATCATCCGCATTTCATTTTTCATCATTGCCCATTTCTGAAGTCATCCTTCAAAAAAGATTCAATCAGTGGACAAACAGAAGCAACTTTAATCTTCTTTAACTCCTCTGCCTCTTGATTCTACAGTCAATACTGTCCATTGTATTCGTTGATGTATTCTACCTTGTATTTAGATCAATTATAAATGATGTTTTGGTTATTTCTCTCGTCTATCTGTCTGTCAGATAAAGCTGCTTGTAAGATTTCTCAACTAATAAGAGCTCCGTCCTTTAACTTCACGTCCTAAATGTATGCTCCCCTTAGCTATCTTTCTCAACATGGCACAGATCAAAGGCAAAAAAAGCCCTCTGTCAC